CAGAACCACCCAGAACCCCTCCGGGACCCCCCAAAACCCCTCAGAATTCCCCCCAAAATCCCCCTCAAACACCCTATTAACCCTTCAGGACCCCCCAAAAACCCTCCGGGACCCCTCAGAGCCCCCTCCAAACGCCTCAATTTCCCCCAAAACCTCCTTCAAGCCCCCTATTAACCCATCGAACACCCCAAAACCCCTCAAATCCCCCACAAAACCCCCCAAAACCCCTTTTAAACCCCCTATTAACCCTTCAAAACCCCCCAAACCCCCTCCGGGACCCCCCAAATCCCGCCCGCCCCTCACGGCCCCTCAGGGCCCCTCACCAACATCACGACGCCCCAGGCGCTGAGGACGAGCCCACAGGCGGCCATTTTGGGCCCGCAGCAGAGCAGCGACACCATGGCGAGCGGGGGGCAGCCTCGGCGAGTCCCTCCCGACGCTTTTTTTGGGTTTTTTTCGGGTTTTTTTGGGGTTTTTTCGGAGATTTCCGCGAGCGCCGAGCGCACCCCCCTCCGTTCGCTGCTGCGGGGCCGAGCCGGCGCAGCAGACTGAGGCCACGCCCCCTTCTGCGTAGCCACGCCCCCTCGCGCGTGGCCACGCCCTTTGCCAGCAAGCCACGCCCCTCCGGGCTGTTCCATTCTCACCCGCGGGGGGAGCGGATTGGCTGTCGGGTGTTTTGGGGGGCGTGGCCGCGTTGTTTGGCCACGCCCACCCGCGTCACGCGCGTCCTCGGTGTCCCCTCGGTGTCCCCTGGGTGTCCCCTGGGTGGCCACGCCCTCCTGTGACGTCACACGGAGGGGGGTGTCCCCGTGTGTCCCCCCCCCCCCTCGGGGAGAATCAAATTTCCAAAATTGGGGCTCTGGCCCTTTAAATGCCCCTCCCCCCCCCAGCCGAGGTCACTTTGAGGTGACATTTCACAGCTTGGGGGGGGAGGGGAGGGGCTAAAAATAGCCCCGGGCACGCGCCCGCCCCTCCCCCACCCCCCCCGGGAACACCCGCGGGTGGGGGGAGGGGCGGTGACGTCATCTTCCCCCCCCATTTCCATTTTTGGGCAAAACCGCGGGAATTGGGGGAGGGGCGGGAAATTGGGGTCGCTGAATTAATGACCCCCAGGTGACCCCGCCGGGCGCGGCCGCGGCCTTAATTAGCGCTAATTACACCTTAATTAGCGCTAATTTGATCTTAATTAGCCTTAATTAACTCTTAATTAGCCTTAATTAGCCCTAATTAACCTGCTAATTCCCCCCGCGGGACGCTCCGAGCCCTAATTAATCCTTAATTAACCCTTACTTGATCCTTAATTAACTCACTGCCCCACCTCCGGACCACTCCCGGGCTTTAATTAACCCTAATTAGCCGCTAAGTAACTTTTAATTAACGCTAATTAGCCTCCTGATCCCCCCCACGGCACCCCCCCCGCTCCTAATTAACGCCTAATTAATCCTTAATTAACTCCCTGCGCCACCTCCGGACAGCCCTCCAAGCCCTAATTAACCACTAATTACCGCTAATTAACTTAATTACTCCCGATCCCCCGCAGGAACCCCTCCCAACCCTTAATTAACCTTAATTAACCTTAATTAACGTCCGGATTCCCCCTCCGGGACCCCCCCATCCTTAATTAACCCCTAATTAACCCTTAATTACCCCCCTGCCTCGCCTCCGGGACACCGTCTAATTAACTTAATTACTCCGGATTCCCCCTCCGGGACCCCCCGACCCTTAATTAACCCCTAATTAACCCTTAATTACCGCCCTGCCTCTCCTCCGGGACACCGCGTCCCTTAATTACCCCCTAATTAACCCCTAATTAACCCTTAATTACCCCCCTGCCTCGCCTCCGGGACACCGCGTCCCTTAATTATCCCCTAATTAACCCCTAATTAACCCCTAATTAACCCTCATTAACCCCCCCGGCCCCTTAATTCCCTAATTAACGGATTAATTAATTGCCGCCCCCATGCCCAGGGGGTTCCAGCAGATCCAGGAGGAGGAGGAGGTACGGGGGCTAATTAAGGGTTAATTAAGGGTAATTAAGGGTTAATTAGGGGTCCGGGGGTCCTGGGAGCGGGGCTGGCATTAATTAAAGATTAATTAGCGGTTAATTAAAGGTTAATGAGGGGTCGGGCGGTCCTGGGAGTGGGGCAGGCGTTAATTAAGGGTTAATTAGGAGTTAATTAGGAGTGGGGGTGTCACGGGGGGATCTGGAGGTTAATTAGGGGTTAATTAAGAGTTAGGGTTAATTAGAGGTTAATTAGGGGTTAATTAGGAGTGGGGGTGTCACGGGGGGATCTGGAGGTTAATTAGGGGTTAATTAAGAGTTAATTAGGGGATCGGTGGGTCCCGGAGGAAAGTCAGGGGTTAATTAAGGATTAATTAAGGATTAATTCGAGGTTAATTAGGGGTCCGGGTGGGGGTTCCCATGGGGGAGACTCTGGAGGTTAATTAGGGGTTAATTAGGGGTAATTAAGAGTCAATTAGGAGAGGGGGAATCCCGGCGTGGATTGGGGAATTAATGAAGTATTAATTAAGGGTTAATTAAGGGTGGGGGAGGGGTGCTGTGGGGGGGAACCCCGGCGGTTAATTGGGGCCTAATTAGAAGTTAATTATGTGTTAATTTGGGGTTAATTAGGGGATTAATTAGGGGATTAATTAGGAGAGTATTGGGGATTAATTAGGGGAATTATTGGGACTTAATTAGAGGCTAATTAGGGGTTAATTAGGGGTTAATTAGGGGATTATTGTGGATTAATTAGGGGATGATTGGGGATTAATTAGAGGATTAATTAGGGGTTAATTAGGGAATTAATTCGGGGTTCATTAGGGGTTAATTAAGGGTTAATCAGGGGTTAATTAGGGGGGGGGTTTCCCGCCCCTCCCCCACCGCGGGGG